TTGGGCCTGCCTTGGGCTTGAATTAAGCCAAATTACTCTAACCTCTCTATAACCTCTTGGAGGGAAGTGAGGCGTTGAGCCTGCCTAACCTCTCTAGCCTCGATGTCGCTATCATGTGAACCAGCCAGCCCGCCAACTGGAATCTGTGCGCCGGCCCGGGGGGTCGGCGGATATACACACACACACACACACACATATATATATATATATGCATTATATATAATGTATGTATTTACTTATTGGTTGGTTTGTATGCATGCAGACGGTTGGAAATGTGCATATGGGTGTACACATGTATATTTTGCCCTGCGGCAGGTCATGGACAAGCTCATCCAGGCACGACGCTCGGGGGTTCGAAAGCCAGACTGTTGAGGCCATAGTTGTGGGGGGGTTGGGAGCCTAAACCCTAAACCGTGGCTCATTATTATGTCAAGGGCGTGAGTGACTTGAATCTTTAGGCTCTGACTTGTGTGCCAGGCGGGGGCCGAAGACGACGAGGCGTGGAGCTTGCGAAGGGTTCCAATCGGAGTTTGAATCATTTGTGCTTCCATATGGTTTTGCTACTAATGATTACATCGCGTCTTATTAGCGACATAGTTGTTATGACCGTATCATCACTCTTCTGATCGATGTCATTCAGAGCATCGCCTGTTTGTTGCGCAGTCCCTTCCCCCCCCAGTGCGATCGGCAGGAGGAGGAGGACTCCGCCGTGCCCTCATCGGCCTCGTGGCATGTGCTGTCTCTGTGCTGACTCTCGTGTGCTCAGCCACCTGGCATGCTTCCCAAAGCCCATGGTAGGGTCCATCGCCAAGAGCAGCAAGTTGCTCCCAGGTGGTGAAGAGCCGCAAGAAGCGAGTGAGGCCTTTGCTTCAGGATCTTTTCCGAACAGTTGCGGGGTTGAAGTTCACTTGTTTCGCGATTTTGGGTGTGGATTTCTTCGAGCATTTCGCAGCCCTTGGCAGGGCGGAGACCGTGAATCAAGAGGATCTAGCCCGCGACCCAGCTTCGCAACTTCAGGGCATCGTGGGGAGCCTTCATGTTTTGCCAGAGTCGGGCTTGGCTGGCATTGTGGGATCAGGAAAAAGCAGCTGCCTTGGCGGTGCTGGACGATGATGACGGCCTTACAGAGGAGGACGTGGCTGTGCGAAACCGCATCCCCATCTTAGCAAAGTTCTGAAAATGCCGGCCGTGTGATCCAAAGACCATTCGTTTCGGGACCTCGAGACCAATCGATGCGTAGGATGCGAGTCATAGAGCCGGGAGCATCAAGGGAGCCCTTCTGTGCATCTGTCTGCATGTCTGCCTGAAATAGGATATGTCGTGTCGCGTGCCTAAACACACATTCTGCTTTTAAGCGCATGAGCGGAGGAGCAGCGCCGTGCTGGTGCGCATGAGCGACTCAAGGAGGTCTTGGTGCTCGCCCCATTCGTGAGAGTCTCCTGTCGCGCCCACCACGCCTCCAGTTCGAGATGCAGCGGAGTTTTAGCATACAGTATTGTTCAGTTGAAAGCAGATGCAGTGGATGGTTTTCGACACAATTCCGTTGCGCGCACGATGCTTGCAATCTCATCATATGCGCAACGATTGTTCCAATCTATGTGAGCTTTTCCACACTTGCCACATGCATTAAAAGCTGGCCGGAACTTTTTGGACACCATGCATAGGAATGCGGTCGCGGGGGCGTCCGATGCATATACGTGAGTCATACGTGAGCTATTCCACACTGGCATGCATGAAGAGCTCATTGGGAATTTGGAACGAAATCCATGGTCGTGGGGGGTGTCCAACGCGTTTGTGAGCTATCCCCCATGCCTCAAAAGCTGCATTTTGTGACGGTCGTGTGCGCGTCTCTTCCACGCTTACCACACGCATTTAAAAATCGTTTGGACAGTTTGGACACCATGCATGCTGTTAAGTTCGCGGACACTAGGTTGAGATGTGAGCTATTCCACATTCTACTACGCAGGTCTGGCAATAGGAAACAGAGCAGGATCAAGGGCAATGTTTGCTATCACATCCTCTACAGATTAGCCCCTCAGGGCGGAGGTACGGCAGTCCGAACATGTAAAAGGACAACGGCAAACAGCGAGTCGTGTCACTCACACTTGAGCTTTGGGCGGGCGTCTCTAGCCTTCACCTGCTGAGGAGGGGACCGCGCTGACTCGAGATCTGGAGGCCATCAGAATATCAGAATATACCATATCCGAGTGTCGGAAGCTTTTGGGAGCTTTTTCCGAGCAGCGGAGGCGGCCCTGGAGGAGGCAACGCAGGCCCAGGCCTGGCTCTGGCTCTGGCGAGCTCTGGCCGAGCTTTGCTTGCGGCGAGTGTCTTACTGGCGCTTTGAACTTTGCGAGGTCGAAGATGAGTCTTTGCTCTCCACGGCAAGATCTCGACTGCAAGATCTGAAGGACCTGACATTGCTCTTGCTCTTCGAGTCTCTCGGCGCCCAAGTACCTGGTTGGGTGACGCCTTGGACCGTGCAAGGATCGGGACGATGCAAGCGACCACCTTATGGCAGCTCTGGAAGAGCCGGGCTCTCTTTTTCGCTTCTCCAAATCGTCGCCGCAGCTGTGTAGCTCCCAAGGGCCCGCCAGGGCTGCCGCGGCCCTGAAAACCTTCAAGCTTTGCAGGAGGCACCACCTGCTTCGCTCGGCAAAACCTTCATGAACGGCTTGGCCAAACCTTTTGCCTTTTCTCGCGCAAAGCAGGCGCTCGAAAAGGCCAAGGCAAAAGGCGCTCGGCGATTGCTTCCCAACTGAGGAGATCAAAACTGTGCTTTTCAGGCGTCGCGGAGAAAGAGCTACAACACGGCGAGCAGGCACTGACATCCCTTTGCCTGTCTCGCCGAGCTTCTGTCTCCATCTTCCTACCGCAGGTCTTGGCCGAAGAGATGCCGCGTGCGCAGGCCGACTGGGGAGAACAATGTCGCCAACCCTAAACCCAAAAATGTTCCCTGAACCCCAAAACCCTAAACCCTATGTATGTCGGTTGCTACTTGGCCTGAGCGAGCCCCCTCGTGTCCTCGCAGAGAGGCTCGGCAGCAGCTGAGGGACGCCCAAGCCAAAGGCAGCAGCCAGGAGCCAAGGGCCAGTCACGAAGTTTCCGTGAAATCCCTGGTAGATTCATGTACTACCTTTTCGAAAAGGTAATTTTATGGGCACTGGTATGTATGTAGACATTCGTTTGCTTGTTCATATGTATACGCCTTGCTTTCAGAATCTGTGCGCACACACACACACACACCCCTACACAGACAGGTGCATAAACCTTACCGACAGAGTCTCGTCTCGAGGTGCCTTGCGAGAGGCCATCGCTTTGGCAAAGGAGGCCCGCCTCCCTGCCGAAGAGCTCCAACCTTTCGAGGAGCCCAGGGTTGTTTCCGGGAGGCAAAACAAGTGACATGTGTGTGTGTGTGTCTGTGTGTGTGTTTGTGTCTGTGTCTGTGTCT